GTAGGAGTTAGTCTCTTGTCCCAAGTAACAAGTGATAGATTACACAAGAGGAAATGGTCTCAAGTTGTGCCTGGGGAGGTTTAGATTGGGTATTAGGAAAAACTTCTTCACCGAAATGGTTGTCAAGCATTGGAACAGGCTGCCCAGGTATGTGGCTGAGTCCCCATACCTGAAAGTATTTAAAAGATGTGGCACTTAAGGACATGGTTTAATGGTGGACTTGGTAATGTTAGGTTAATAATTGGACTCAGTGATCTTAAAGGCCTTTTGCAACCTAAACAACTCTATGATTTTATAACGAATTACCGCAAGACTTCAATTATGTGTATCAGATAAGCTACTAACATAATTTATGCTATTTAACAATCTGTGGAGACTTTATCTATAAATAGAGACTTTTATATGATTTACAAAGTCAACATATGACCTGTTTTAGAGTACCTGGCTCTTGCCTGGAAAAATGTTTATTAAACTGTTTGAATTCTATGATTGAGAGTCTACAGAAATGGGTCTTTTGGAGACATGAATCCAAATGTGCATACATCACTCCCTCAGTTATGCGATTCATAGACTAAACACATGTTCCTTTCATGTTAAAAATGTCTAAATATTATCAGAGTCCATTTTCTGTGGGGTTTTGCCATTTTTTACATGGACACTTCTAACTGCACCTTTTCATTCTTTTGAGAAATATTCACTCAGACAGTGACTTGCTAACACATGACAGCTGTGTTTGTGTTTATCTTTCAAATGTGACTGACTCTCAGATGTTATGTTTCCAAAGTAATTCCTGCTTGCAGAGTCAATAGGTAAGGTTTTGCATCTGAAATACTTTAAATGACAAATTCATTATAATGGCTACTAAAAATCAATCTGTATTTCCAAAGGAAAATTCTATTCTCTGAGATAGTGACAAAGTTTGACTTAGGCTTTTAAACCGTGTTGCTGCCAGACAAGATCTGCAGAAATTTTCAGCATTTTCAGACATATTTCATATTCCGTATCCAAATAAAAAGCCAACATTCCTAACAGAGTGTCAGTTTAAACATTAAAAAACAAACATTACTAAGAACATGGTAACTTTTCATTTCAGTACATTAAAATTGTTTTGTTGAGATAATTACGATAAGGAAGACTTTTTTCTTTATTCTGCTTTGTAAAATAATACGATATGGATGATATTAGATATGAGCATTACATTGTCAAAAATGTTAAAGTCCAAGCGAAGTAAGAAGAAACTGTAGTCAAACAAACTGGTTTATTGAAATAAAGTTTTTAGACATTGACATGAAATGACAGATTTTAAATGATTTGACACGTTTTCATTGAGAATTCCACTGACTTTGTGACATTATTGTGAAACATTTCCGTTTCACTGATGCTGTATTTAACATAGAAAATGTAATGAAGAACTGATGATTGCATTTTGAAAAGTCCTCTTTTGAGCAGGAAGAAACAGATGGCTTTTATTATCAGTAACAAACAACTTTTTTTATCCTGCAGCACCATTTTCCTAGAAAACAAGAATTGCTTTATGAAATTTGAATATCATATTATTGTATTTAATATTTAATTAACCAATTAATAATTTAGTGATTCATATCAATAATCATTGCTGTGTGGTTTATGTGAACATAAAGGTTTATGTTAAAAACTGGTGATCCACGATGAGTTTTTCCTATATGGGGGAGTCTTATCTCACTTCTTGTTTGCCTGCAAATATATGAGTAAGCTAGTCTGAAGCTGATTTCCCTGAAATATTTTACCTGAAATTCTTATGAATAAATCCTGCACTTTTGTTAAATTTAACAAAAAAAAAAAAAAAATTACCTATGTTAAATTGTTAAACTACTCCCTCTTTCACTCTTTCTCTGCCTCTTTGTCTGTCAGTTCAGTCTCTGCAGGTGCTAACCTCATAAAGCCAGGGCTTGTCCCTGGGAAGTGGGAACTGCCAGAAGAACAACCAGAGGTATTTGGGAGAGTTTTAGTAGTTAAGCAACTGAACTTTTGGTAAACACTGATTATCCAGCTCTACAGAATGTACTGAAAAAAGAAATGAAAATTTAGAAATAGCTCTATGTCCTGGGCAATTAATTGTAATAGCAATGTGAAAGGACATATGGTCCTATTTTACTTGTCTTCATTCTTCATTATTTTGTTACTTTCCGCTGCGATTTCTGGTCTTAGACTGGATGTTCTGAACAGCTGAACCTGACGGCTTACTCATGGAGCTCTGATCTCAGCCCCGGTATAGCATTACAATGTCTGTTGGTAATAGAATGAATAAAGGTTGAGATGTTGGGGATGGGTCATACCAAGGGAAGGCAATGCATTCTTACTTGTTTTGCTCTTTTGTTGGTTGTGGGTTTTTTTGTTATTACTATTTTGTGGGATCAAAAATACACAAATCCATTTTTGCTTCTGTCATAATAGAAAAGTTTTTGGTGGAGAACTGACTCTTGCTGGTCAAGACACATGGGGCAGAGGAAGTGGATATATTACCCCGAATCAGTATTTTTAAACAGGTTAAATCCAAAATAATATATTAATGGCTAATTAAAATCCAGCCCGTGCTTTTTTCTACCTTTCTGAAAAAAGTGATAAATTCAACACAGAAAACAGAGTGTAATAGAGACAGTTTTGAAGACCAAGACTTTTTAGCCTGGTGAATGGGCCATTAAAAGGCTGTCTGCAACTGCCTCAAAGAGGGGCAACCTCAACTTTGTAACTGATCATAAAGAGGGGGAAACATCATTATCATTAGTATTATGGGATGTTTGAGGGAGTTCCTGGGACTTACATGAAATTCAGAGTTATGGGATATCAGAAGGGGTCTTGCGAGATTATGTAAAATTTATTGTGGGATGTTTAGCAGAAGGGTGAAGGGTCAGGAAGAATCAGGGAGGAACAAGCATGGCAAAAAAGCGAGGAGAAAGCAATCAAGGGGCTGGTCTGTGTAAGCAAGGCTGATCAGTATGCTAGTGCCTGGGTTGGAGACCGACCCTGGTGTTTCCACCTCACCTCCTGGCCAGGCTCCAGTGCCCAAGCAGAAAGAAACCCCATGCCCTGGAAGCTGCTGGATTCAGTGGCTCTTGTAACATTGTTAACACAAGAAGTAGAAAGACCTGTCTTACCTATCTTCATCATGATCCCTATGTATCAGGACAGTCAGAATCCAAGCATTTTCTTATGCCTGAGGTAAGTTTCTTTGGAGCTGTACCTACCAGAATACTGTTGTAATAATCAGAAAGAAACCAACTGATCATTTAAAGTGGCTATTATTTGCTCCAACATCTAGTAGGGAATACATTTAGGTACATGAAATAAGCTATTAAAACTTGAATTTACTTCAGGGAGACTCAAATGGTAAGAAATATTTATAGAAATGAAAACTGTATGTAAAATATAAAATATTTGCTGATTTGGAATTTTGGCACTAAATCAGTATTGCTTTAACATCTGTTATTATGAAGAATCAACAAAGTGTGATCAGCTGTATTATTGCAATCTAATTGGACACAGGAATCAGATGCAACTATAAAAAAAAAGTCACCATACAGATGTCTCTTAATGTCTCTATCTCAAGTAAAGAAAATTCAGGCTTTGGATTTAGGTCTAGGGGAAAAAAAAAAGTAATTGAGAGGTCAGAATTTTATTTCAAAGCATGAATCCTTAGGAAAACAGAAGTCCAACCTAGAATTTCTTACATGTCTGTAGCACAGGATTGGCATTTCAAGAAATAGAAATAGTAGATGTTAAGAAAAGTCTGGAATAGTACCATCTGAAAATAATTTATGAAGGCAGTGAATATGTTGCCTAAAACATTATACTATCAAATATAAAATTATGCAGCACATTTCCTGAAGTGAAAAAATGCTTATTAGAACACCTACAAAGTCAGAGGCCAACTGAGATGTTTTTCCAGCAGTACTTCAGTAGTTCCTTACCTTTGTGATAACTTCTTAGCATTACCAAATTGCATTTCAAATGAACAACAGAATCATTACAGGTTTGGTTACTGTACCTGCAAACCTTTATAACGTACTTAATATATTAATGCATTTACCATTACATTTTGCAGAACAGATATTTAGCAGTGACAGATAGACTAGTTCAATATAACACAGAAGTCTTGAGTGTTTGCCATATTTTATATGAACAAGTAACACTTAATTAACAGCATTTTTCGTGCCCACACAGCTCCAAAGCTCAGCTGATTTTGCATGTTCAGGTTCCAAATAAGATGATCAAACACATTCTGACATGAAAATGAACAGGGATCAAGCGAAGTTTTGGAAATATCAAGGGAACTGTCTTCCTAACTTATTTTTTCTGTCTTGATTCTTTTGCTTTTACATGCGCATAAGAACTTGAGTATTTTTCAAATAAATACAGACATTTTGTCATTCCAATTGAATATCTATATAAGTGAAGCAAACTCTTGAATTTTTAACTGGAAACCAATACTCATATAACTCCATTTTGAATTCTTTTGGAACAAAATGTCAAAAATCTGGGGAGTCATGCACTGTTATTAATTTTATGTTTCATTATCTATTTATAATAGCTATTTTTTGAAGTAATATCTCTCTAGAGGTACCTAGAGTATTTTATAGGTGTTTAAACACATAGCCTCCTTTTTCCATCGGACACAATTAAACCTAATTTGAAGTATGCTGTATATATTTCTCATCCTATTATTGAAGAACTCTTCAGAACACAACTACTGGAGACTATGTCTGTTCAGGCGCAAAAGAAAAAGAAAGTTTCTTTGGATCTGTGCTATAACAGAACATTTTAAATTCTGATACTATCAAACTATAACAGCCACTCAAATTCATCTAATTAAAAATATAAAAAAAGAAAAGACCCTGTAGAACAAAAAAAAACCCCAAAAAAACGTAAGCAGCAATTTGTCTCATTTAAAAGGATGTATTTCAGGCTATTATCTATCACATTACTACTACTAAATATGCTTAAATATTCTCCAGCACACTCACCTCTTTTTGACGGTATTTAATTGCCAGTTTCAATCTTGCAAGATCGTTACCACTTTGTTCTTCTATCAAGCTATTATCATCTCTGTAATTAAGAATAATTTCCAATTCCCTGGAACTCCGTGTCTGATCCAGGAGATCTTTTGCAAATTGCTTGCATTGCCTTGACAGTTCCTCATACTCTGACTTAAATTCATTTTCGACTTTACTCAGTTCCTGCAGCTCCCAGCTCAGCTGAAAAGCAGTAAGAAAAGGATCCTCACTGGACAAAGCAATCAATGAGGGGCTTGCCAGAGCCTTGTAGATATTAAGTCTGGATCGAGAGTGGCGGAGGCTGTCCACATCTGAACTTGAGACACATTCAACGCAGTTACAGCGGACCTCGTGTGGCCTGGGCACGGAGACTCCTTTCTGCACAAGGAGCTTTATGATTTCATAATTGTTGGTGTGGGCAGCCAGAATAATGGGTGTAATGTCCGGTGTAAATTCAGAAAACTGCTTGTCCAGAAGCACTGGTGGCACCTGTGAAAAAAGGCAAAAAGCCTTACAGGCCTCTTCATTGAGCAAGAGCTATAGAAAATTAAGCTACAAATAGTTTAGCAGGTAGTACGCTTCCTGATAGATCTTCACTTCTGGCCAGAGTTGAAGGAAACATTTTAAACATGACAATTCAATTAGCTAAGATAGCCTCTTTCCAGTTAATAAATTGCTATAAACAGGGTGTGATTTTTCATAAAACTTGTTTGTATGTAAAGAACCCACAGGCAATGATTCATTAGAGCAAATGATCAGGTGCCTTGAAGTGCCAGCTGTGAGCAAGATGGAAATGCTCTCTTGTCTCTCAATGGTTAATGTCAGTTTTACAGGGAAGACAGAATCTTGGAGGCATAATTGTGATTCCCTGTAGGAACAGGACACAGACAAGTTAGACAAAACAAAACTGGCCAGTAAAGGAGAAAGAAAAGATAAGTTTTCTTAAAGAGAATGTTGGAAATATGACTGTGTATAGAGAAGCAAAGATAATCTGCTGCAAAAAGCTTAACCTCTTAAGACTCAGTTCTACATACACGTGCAAACACACTCTTTTCATAGGAAAAGGGGGGAGTTGGTGAAACAAGGGCCCCAAAAGAGCATTTTTAATGCCTCTTCTGGTACGCATTTCTGTATTTTCATTCTTATATATCAGAAGCTTGTAAGGTCGTTCATTTTAAGCTTGTTTCTTTATTTTACAATACTCGACTCTGAAGTCTTTCCCAGATCAAGACTACTTGTTACACTAGTATAATGAAGCCATATAAGTGTAATTAGCTGATATTATAAAAAAAAAAATGGTACTGGCATCATCATATGGACTGTCTTTGGTCCATAATCAATAACCAAATACAAACTCAATCCACATTAATGAGGTGCTCTGAGTGATGCGCTAAGAGGAAGAAAAAATGGAAAACATTTCACTCAAAGTTTTCTGAAGGCTAGGGAAATAGACTGCCACTGGAGGGGGGAAAAATGTTTGGTAGAAGTCTTATGACAGAAGAATGACCTTGTTGCCAGGTGTAAAACAACACAATAGCTGTGTTTTTTTTAAGAAGAAAAAAGTTAATAGGAAACAGTTAATGCATATGAGAACACTGTAAGAAGGAGGGGAAATGAGCTATGTTTAGAGCCTGGGGAGGGAAAGAAGTGAAGCAAAAAATGCAGTAGTCAGAATCAGACAGAAATCCAGTGGAAAAGAAAATAAGAATGAAATTAAGCTGAAAAGAAATCGTAATCTGTGGATATAAATCCATAAATAAAATCCATAGATCATTGATTTTTTTTCCTCCCTCTTTCTAATGAAGACGCTATATTTTGTACATTTTTCAGCTGTCCTACATGAAAACCAGCCCATGTTTGTTCAATGGGACTGTGTACATGTTTAAGAGCTGCTATGTGTGTGGGCTGTAAAACAGAGGCCTGAAGCACTAATCAGCTGAATGAGAGAATTACTTCGGAGGTGGCCACTTATTCATGTAAAATGGTGTGAAAAGTCAAGATTGGAGAGCTGGCATTTGGGATTGTAACCACATATCCCTAGGGAAACAATCCCCGCCTGGCCATAGTATATTGCTGACCTCACCTCTAGTAGCTGTGCTGGATTCTGAGAAGATACGTTCAGTCAATGGGTGAGGTCCCTTTTCTTCCTTCCCATGCGCTCAAACATGCATGCTTGGCTTGGCACTGGGTAAGTTTTAGAGCAGGACTGGGGGATGCCTGAGCTAGCACAACCACCCTCATGACTTCAAGCAGAGGGAGCAGCTATCCTCACAGTCCTCCCCACCAGCTTATGGGAGATGTTTACAACCAGTGGCTGTGAGCCAAGCAGCTCCTGAGCAAGTCCTCTTCTGCTTGATTTATTCTAAGGTACAAACAAAACAGTGTAGTATGTACAGTCATACAGAGAAATATGGGTTTGAAATTATTCAGAAGGAACCCAGCTGAGAATATACTGAAGGTATGGATGAGGGTAATGGGTATAGGAATAAGCAGAAGGTCTGAGCACTATGCCTAATCTAAGTTGTGGTCAGGAAAAGAAACATAACCTGGGCATATGTCTCGTCAGAGGACTCTGTGGCTGTGTCCACACTGTTCTGTTGGGTCTCTTCCAGGGCACCTCTGTGTCACCTGTCACATCCAAGCTGAATGCTGTGCAGTGCCCATTAAGGGATGCCCAAATGCCCAGATTGTTTAGTTATTCCTGTCCAGGGCGAACTCAGGTTTGAAATCTGTATCTGTTTTCTCACCTGTCTATGGTGTCAGTGGGGAAAATGAGACCACTTTCCGTAAAACCTCCCTGGTTATTGTAGTCTTAGATTTATTTTCTTTTTTACTTGCATATTATATACGAAAAAAAGAAAGCACACACATGCATACATACATTTTTCCTGCTTTTTAAATTGCAACTCTGACCAATGCTTTTGAGCTGAGAAAAACATGAAAATGGCAGTAAAATTTTGCATTAGTAGAAGTGAGATTTTGGGCTACCATTGGTCTGAAAAAAGTTTACAGGGAGGAATGCATTGTGGTCTGACAGCATCTGGCACAACTAGTGAGGCTCTCTCTTGGCTCCAGGGATGTAGAGGAGAGAGCTGCAAGGGCAGAAAACTCAAGGATACAAAGCTGTATTTCCAAACTCTGTCACTTAGTATGTCATCATTTTTGTACTTTCTGACAGCACTAAACTAATATTTGCTTCAAGCCCTGCCTGAACTGAAGGCTGTCTTAACATGTCATTAACCACAATCTTCTTTGAAAATTAACAGAAACACAGCTTCAAACAACATGGTATTACAATGACTGACTTGTACATGAGGTCCATTCACGCAAAAGCTGCTTATTTTTCTCATAACTTAACTTATCAAAACCTTTCCTCTGAAGGTAACTCAACTAAAAGGTGAATGAAAACATTTTGGAATTCATACCATCAGAATTCACCCAAATATAGAAGTGCGTATTAAATAATTTCAGCCTTAACTTGTAGAAATATTTCAAGGGCAAACCCTAAGACTGCAGCTTTAATTACGTCATGAGCTCAACTTCTGACCCTTTACCTCCTATTTTAAGGTTTCCTACTCATTTAAACCAAAGATATACGGAATGCCAAAGCAGTAAGGTCAAGTTATTCCCTCATCTGCAGTATAATGAAGTACTTACTTACCTTTTGAAGTTCTGAGTGCTCTCACAGCACTCAGGATATTTCAGCATTTAACTGTTGACCCAGAGTACTTGCTCTGAAGTCACCAGACTTATGATGAATTTTACTTTCAAACTACTGAAATTATTCTCTTTAAAGAAGCCAAAACAAATAACTAGCACACATTGATATCAGCCACACAATCTAAAGCTTTGACAGATCACTCACAGAAAACATAAGAATCCTCCTTAAATCCTGGGAGGATGGGAAGCTATTATGTCTTACAGTCACTGATTGTGACTACCCAGCGCCTAGCAGTGGTGTAACTATATTATACACTTTGGAGTTAATTTGTCAAGTGTGAGGCTGCTTAAACTTAGAAAGGTCAAATTATTTTTGCTTTCTTACATTTTGTTAAAAATTTCCTACTTCAACATTATTTTCAAGGGGGGAGCAAAGCAGTTCGGTGATTGTGTATGCGTATCTGTGTGTGAATGAGTAGGCAAAAAAGAAAATAAAGCAGAAAAGAAGAAAGCGCAGCTCAAAGTCTGTACGCTTCAGTGCTCAAGGACATGAGATTTTTCTGTTGCATTCCTTTTTTCTGTACTTAACTGTAAGTGGGAATGAGTCAGTCCGACTTAGATATCTAACAATTTTTTAGTTATCAGGTGGAACAGCCCTCTTCAGTATGTCGCTAAGTTCCCTGTATGGTCTGTGTGAAGAAACGCCTCTTTGCTATGACAGATAGAGAAATATAGGCCAAATTAATGCCTATTTTCTGTCCCTGTGACATCAGAGTAGAGAAACTGATAGCTGACAACCTCTTAGATACCCAGGAAATAGAAAAATATGTTTGGAAAAGGAGGAATGTAAACCCTGGGTGTGTCCTTTTCTCAACCTAGATTTCCCACAGTGGCTCTCATTAACGCAATATCTTGTCAGAGAGAAAACTGCAGTGCACATTTACCCACTTCTTAAGTGCAAGAGCTCAGAATCTATTTAAAGCTACCTATTTCTTTGGGCAAATGGATGGCCTGCCTTGTCTTTATTTATTTACAATTATTTTTCCTTTTGTTTTAAAGAGCAAACCCTGAAGTGGCTGCAAGCAGTTAGGTGAATATATTTCTGAGTCACATCAATCATGACAGCATGATTGCAGGAAAAACCTAAAGCAAAGAAAAAAAGGATATATGACAGGCAACAAGATGAATGTATATGTCATCTCATGCAGTACCACATTATATAGGAAAATTAATATTATAAAGGTGTGTCATCAAGCTCATCAGTTGCTTCAGCACTATTGCTCTATAGCTGTCATGAGCCAAACAGCTTGAAAATGCTGAACTCTACATTGCAGTACAGCCCACAGCGTGAAAGTTATCCCTATGCATATACAGTTTTCCGATTTACATTTTGGTTTGTTGAATTCTTCTCTCTTTTGGCTTCATATTATGTCAGCTGAAATACATCCTAATTATAATGATGGAAGTAATTCCACCAGGAAGGATCCTCCTATCCCAACTTCTTCCACACAGTAAGAAGCTATCAGATAACTTGAATGATTTGAAAATATAACTTCAAAATAACTTGAATTCAGTTGTCACACCACTGAAGAAGTCTGTACAGAGCATATCCTGAAAGCCATGCTGAAACTTTCTTCACAGACTGCACAAACTGCATGCCTGCAGTGGTGGCCCAGATTTTGGCCCAAAGTCCTTTTCCCTGTCCCAGGGTACTTGCTGTGCATTGCACAGCTGGCATGTTTGGTCACTGAATGTGTAAGGCAGGAAAATGGATAGAAGTTGGCAAGCTGAGCTCAGGGACAGCATCGTTTCAGAGCAGTGTGTGTGGT